AAACAGAGCATGGCCGAGCTCAAGCTGCGACGCCTGACCGAGCTGAACCAGCGCCTGCGCGAGGACCTCGAGCGCCGCAGGATACCCGTGTCCGAAGCCGCCCTGGAGTAGGCCGCCCGTGTTGCCGCGTGCACAAGAACATGAACAAGAACTTGGCTAACCTGCGCGTGCAGTCTCATTGCATTCACGGACAAGGAACCCAAGGACTGGATGGTGCCTTCACGATGGGGAACGGTATGTGTAGCACATGTACATGGCACCTCGCTCACCACACGCGACTAACACTGCACGCACAGATCGACAAGCGCGAGGACCCCTACGCCCCTCAGCAAAGTAATGGCTGCTGCATCGTAATGTAACGGGCGAGAAGGAGAAGATGCAGCCGATGGTGGCATGTCTGAGTAACGGCGTTCATGCGGGGCCCTTTTACGGCCGTGTTTCATTTTACCTTAGTTTGGTTGGTTGTGGTGATAATACCCACAGTGTGCAGCAGTCCTTGGAGCTGATACTGGAACGGATCATGTACTTTCAGCAATGTGTAAATTTACGGAAAAGCGGCCGCTCGCTGCCTTTCATTGCTGGCAGCGCAGTAGGGTTTTCTGGTCTTCTAGGATCTTATATTTCGGCCAGTCTGCCGTCCAAGGCTGCTGTGCCTCACAAATCACGAGACGACACCTGTCTCACTTTTACTTCAATCTACTGTCACTTTCGATTTTGGCCTCCTGCCCGCGAATGCACACACATGCACCCCTCGACAGTCTCTGTGTTTGGAGTCTGCCTGTTTCCCGGCCATCGATGCTCAAAGGGGCAGGCACTAGCCAAACGAGATTAACAGGGCGCGAACGAGCAGTAGTAGCAATATTGCACTCCACAACTCTCCCAAGAGGGGCGCTCGCAGGGTGAAAAGGTCTGTCTGACATGTGCAAGACATGGCGCTGCAAGTCATGGCATGCCTTGTTGGCTGGCAATGCGCAATGCGCAACACGAGGCTGTCGCAACTGCCCGTGCATCGCCAGATCGCCATGGCCGGAACGGGCACAGGCACAGGCACCGCCTTGAACGAATGCGAACTGCTCCAGCGCAGTGAACCGAGCATCGTTTTCAGTTGCCCGTCCAGCCGGGCCGAGACGCGCAGCCAGCACGCACGATTGTTATTGGGCGCAAGTCCCAAAGTAAGAGGTCACGGGTTCTGTGCGCCACCGCAACGCTCTGATCAGCGAGAGGAATGGTGTTGGTGTCTGGCGTCTGGCAGTCTCTTACCGTGCGAGGCCCATGCACCCCACGCCAGTGTACTTCAGTGCATGCCAGCCCGCGTCCACCTCCGCGGCTGACCTGAACATATGTGCCTACTACTCTCAGTGCATAGATCAGCGTCATGCGCAGCTCCAGTCGGCATGGATCCGCCAGACAGCCGACGCTGGGCGTGGTGCTAGGACGGAGCTGGGTGCTGCAGCGCGCTGTGGCGCCTGGTTGGTTGGACGCGGCGCACATGTCGAGTCTCAGGCGCGGGTGGTTGTGCGTGGGGTCTTAGTAACGCCGTGGGAGCATCTCTAGTGGGCAGGTCAGGCAGGTCAGCTCGCTCGCACCGCCCTCCTGGGCTCAGTGGGCTGGCTGCTTGTCCAGGGTCTGCTCGGTCGGTTCGGTCTATCTGGCGTGCTCGACGACTGCTTCCAGAGTCATCTCTTGCGTCCCATCGGAGAGAAACGCTCGAGGACGCACCAGGAAACACCACGCTCAGCGCGTTTTAGCGTCTTGATTCGCTTGCGATCCCACCCGGCGCCGACCTCGAGCCCCACCAGCAGGCCGAAAGAAAATTGCGCGCGCTGCTGTAAATCGAGACGTCTTCCCACCTGCTCCTCCACCGGCAGGGGCTCGGCGAACGCAATGGACAGTGCGAACGCACAATCGTGGGCGGGCATGGACGCCGCCGCCGACCAAGACTTCGGCAATCTGATCGACTTTGACCACTTCAACGACCTCGACCTGCCCGACTTCAACAACATCGGCTTCAGCCATGGTGGGCCCGCAAACCATGGCCTCGCCGACGTCCACCACCTCGAACACCAGTTCCCCCCGCAAATCCCCCAACCCCAGGGGGGCGATGGCGCATCCAGCGCGCAGCACGCCCAAGCCAGCATGAATGGCCACGCCATGGGCCAGTCGAATGCCAGCTTCTTCGACTACAGCATGGCCCACTTCTCCCAGGCCGCCACGCCCGTCTTCTCCCAGGCGCCTGAGCAGGTCTATCGCCCGCACCACGGCGTCCCCCCCACGCCCAACAGCGTAGAGATGCACGGCGACCCGCACCGCTACATGCACCACATGGACCAGCAGGCCCTCTACGACCAGCGGTACCATGTGCGCAAGGACGATGCAGTACGTCGTGTGCCGCAACCGTCAAGACATGCACACTGACCAAGACACAGTCCTTCACCCCCCTCGTCTCGCCAGCAGTCACCCCCCACGACGCGCGCTTCCAGATCCCCGACTTCACCGTGCCTGGCGCCTACTTCAGCCCTCTGACCTCGCCCGCGCTCAATGCCCAGCCCCACCACCATGCGCAGTCGCAGCTGCACACGACCACGTCCGGGAGCTCCACCGGCCATTCGCCTATTGACGTCGACATGGACATGCTGGGCGAGCCGGCCATGGTGCAGCCGGCCGAGCAGAGGAGGAGTCTGAGGAACAAGAGGAACCCCCCGAGAGCGACCAATCCCGCCAACCGCGTGCGACAGTCACCCATTGTGAAACCAGGCCGACGGAAACCCACAGTCTCGATGCAACTGCCGCCCAAGGAGGTCAGCGAACTCATGCACGAGGCGCGCAACAACGGCCTGGACGTCCCACGAAGCCGCGACCACTCGGAAACAGACTCGATATCCCCTGAGCCCATGCTCAACGAGATGCGTCCTCCGCCGATTCCTGGGTCTGTGACACATTCGCCGGCCATGGCAGCGCAGATGAACGGTCAGGGTGCAGCGCCTGCCACGCCTGCTTCTCTGATGCGCATACATCCTTCGCCGCAGTTTGACGTTCCTATGGGTGTACCGCCCATACTGGAAGACCTGGCCCTGCCTGAAGCCTCGCTAGAGTCAAGACCGTCATTGTCGAGGATAGACACAGCCGTGCGAGACGACGACCACGACACCCCCCGTATGTCCGCTCGCAAAACGCCCAAGATGGGCCCGCTCAGCACGCCAGGCGCGGCCATGTCTAACCGACCGAGCCCGATGCTAGACCCCATGTCAACACCAACCAGCCCGGCCTTCTCCATGACCTCTGGAAAGAAGCTAGACGCGAAGCAGGGCCGCAACGCGAAGAAGAGGGGTAGTGTTGGCTCGAGCCTAGTAAGCCCAGCCTTGAGGCCGAAGATTTCGCCGAGTATCAAGCCTCTGCTTGCAGCCGGAGAGAATGGTGAGTTTGATGATTCTTGCAAATACGCAATCTAACAATTTACAGGCGTCTCGGATAACACTCACGCTCTGCTCCTAGCATCAAAGTCAAACTACCAAAACATCCTCGATGGCACCACAGTGCCCGGCGTTTCCTATCCGGCATCGCTCTCCACTAATCTCACTTCAAAACGCACGTCCCATAAGATCGCCGAGCAAGGCCGCCGAAACCGCATCAACATGGCGCTGCAAGAGATGCAAGATCTCCTTCCACCTGGCTCGCAGACCGTGACTCCAGACGCAAAGAGCCCAGAGACTGCCGCGCAGTCCAACAACTCCAAGGCTGCAAAGGTCGAGAGTGCAATCGACTACATCAAACACTTGAAGAGCGAGGTGTCTGCCAAGGATCAGTTGCTGCAACAGAAGGATGCCGAGATGGAGGCGCTGAGGAAGCAGCTTGCTGAGCTGAGGAGGAGCAGTTCAGCCGGCGTAAGCTCAGACTCGTCGACCGAGAACGCAGCCGAGTTGAAGAAGGAGCCAATTTCCACGCCTGCTGCCGTCGACGAGACTTGAAAGGAGTAGGGATGTGGAGAGTCTACTTGATTATGGTTATTATACCGACCATCACACACGCACTGGGATGCTCCCCGCGCCAAGCACGGATGATACCGACTTGAAGGCGTCGAAACGATATTCTTGTCTACCGCGCGTTGCTGAGGGTGCGTCCAGCACAAACAATGGTGCGCAGAAATACTGTTACTACATATAATCGCAAACGTGATTCAGAGCCGTTTGCTAGACGCAGCAGTCTACCAGTACCATAATACCAACCATTGTATCAACATGTTCAATCGTCGATTGTTCGTCAGTGTTTCAACCGAAGTAAACCGAAGTAAACCATTTGTTCAAAGTTGAAATCACAACAATCACCATATTAACAACATCGTCTACAAGATTTTTATTCGTTGCTTACCTCTTCTTACCTCTTCTAGCTGTCGCTAACTAATCACTGTACGAAGGAGCTCGTTGTAATTGGTCAAACACTTGTGCAGCACTTTACTGTGTAGCAACACAGAATGATAACATTACTATATTCCAACGCTACCCAACATACGCGTAAGTAATACTCGCACTCTGTAGTACTATCGTCAAGTCCAGAGATCACGCGCGCAGAGGGCTTAGATTCCTAATAACCCTTCTAACAATATATTGCAAATCCCTCCTTAACTGTGTACCTACGCGTAGTCAAAAATTATCTATGCGCAGGCTTGCAGTAGATCTGTTTCTTGTAAGCCTATACACGTCTCAAGGTACTGTAGTCTAAGGACAAGCGAGCTTTTTAATGGTGTGGCAAGAAACACGTAACCGCTAGACCTAGACGATAGTGCGAGTAAGAAGGTGTTGTACTGTGACCAGGTACCATCTCATGACTAGTAGCAGTGTTGCGTGCGTGGAGCGTTTGGAGGTTCCTGGTGTTCTTGGGAGGTATTCGGCCATTTGTAGTAGCGTGCACGGCCCCACGATAAAAAAATATCCTTCACCCTCTCCACACACAACCCACACCCACTATATCGTTCCAGACTCAAGGAATTCAAACAAAAAAAGTATTTCCGTCACGGGGAATTGAACCCCGGCCTTGTCGGCACTGCTGCGAACAGATGAGAGCGACAAATCCTAGCCACTTGGAGGATGTTAGTGATTGTTTTTGAGGAGGTTGTGGTGGTTGAGCTTACCTAGACCATAACGGATGGGTTTTCCTTTTTTGATGGAGACAATGAGGATTGGAAGGGTCTCATGCGAGTAAAAGAGAGAGGGGGAGGATACGATTCAGTTGTCTTGATGGTATCTTTTCCTCCTCACTTCTTTTTTTCCTTAGTACAGACCCATCATTTAATCCCCACCGCCTTCAAAAACTCCTCTTTCTGCCTGTCTCCCTGCCCCGCCTCTACCAACTTGACCACATCCGCCATACTCTCCACCTCCCTGACTCCCTCCCCGTGACCAAACCGCCACGCCACGTCCTCCTCGAACCGCACTTGGAACGCCGCCCAGTTCTGCGCTTTTAGCTCGTTCACGTGCGCGGTCACGCCGCCACTGGGGCCAGAGTAGAGGAGCACGCCGGGGTATCCGGGTTTCGTAATGCCGGAGATGGGGGGAGGGGGCGAGAGGCAGAGCTTGCGCTTGTTGGTGTTGAGGAGGTGGTGGAGCCAGATGATTACTGTTTTAGGGGTTGAGTCGTTGGGAGATGTGGTGTTGGATGGGGGTTTTTCTTGTTGTTGTTCTTGTTCTTCTGATAGGAGGGATTGGAAAGCTGAGATTATGGCATCTAGGGCTTCTTCTCCTTCGGGTAGGTTGAGGGCTACAACCGCGCTTTTGGTTTGCGTCCTTAGGTCATTTTTGGATGAGTCGGTCGCGGATATCACGTCCGGAGTACCATGTTCTGGGTAGGTTTCTGGGAGGCGCAGGGATAGTGTTGCATGGTCTTGGGTGAATTTCAGTTCGCGGCTTTTAGGGGAGTAGGAGGCTTGGTCTGGGTAAATTGCGGTGAGGAGCTCGATTTCGTTGTCGAGGCGTGAGGGCTCTTCGTCTTCTGTCATGCTGGATGTGGTTTGCTGCGATATGTTGGACTTGACACGGGACGTTTCTGGCCAGGTGTGGTTGGCGATTTGATTGGATGGGCTATCGTCATTGTGAAAGCTATGGATGCGTCCGTGCGCCAGCTGGTACCTCACGTCAATCAACTAACCATGCAGATCTACACATTTCCTTGCATCAAGATTGACTGCAGAGTATTGTCTGTTGATTGTTTTGTTAGGGCCTGTTTCCTTTCAAGTGATATGGTTGCAAAGGTTGAGGTTATAAGGGTGAGGTTACTGCGTTCCCCAAGTAACCGGAGCTCAACGGTACCTTGCTGAAGCCTGTCAGCTTCGGTTCCTTTGGATGGTCTGACTGCATGAAAAGGATAAAAACGGGTCGGCGTGGACTGAAACGCGTAGTAGTCTCGGCGAACAGTCAATTACTGTGGGCGGTGCCGTTCCCGACGCATCTTACGAGGGCTGCACGCGGTGAAACTTAATCAAGCGCCTTCTTTGGGTTAGAACACACGGTTCGTCGCGCTTCTTCGTGTGTGCAGACCAGCCAACCACTCGAGAACTCGTCAATTACCTTGAGAAGTACTTCCCTCACTGTGTGCTGCTCAGAACGCTGCCAGACAGTATACGTGGGCTGTGACACTCGCAAACGATAGCAAGCCGTCTCCCGTCCTCCGCACGCACGCACCCTAAGCACCACACCCCAAGCATCGCACTCTTGGCTGAGGACGCCTGCAACCTCCCCGGCCGGTCCCCGAGCTGTATACACCGCAACAAAGCTGAGTTCGCTCCCAAACCACCCACATCGAACGGCCCTGAGCCGTGTCCACGCCCACGATGAAGGCTGCACCGCTGCTGGTGTCCTGGCACAACGAGAACGCTCCCATATACTCTGCCCACTTTGAACCCCATGGCAACGGACGACTGGCCACAGCAGGCGGCGACAATAACGTGCGGGTACGTGTTCGAAGCTTGGCTGGAGCTGTGCAGCTGCTGACAGTGGTATAGCTCTGGAAGGTTGACAGCAACGGGGAGGACCGCAAAGTCACCTATCTCTCCACACTAGTCAAGCACACACAAGCTGTGAACGTCGTGAGATGGAGTCCACGAGGTGCGTCAAACACGGCAATGCGAGAGTTTACACTAACACATACCAGGCGAGGTGCTCGCCAGCGCTGGTGATGACGGTAACGTGCTGCTCTGGGTGCCAGCTGAGAACCAGACAAACACACACAACTTCGAAGAGGGTCTGGAAGACAAGGAGTCGTGGCGCGTCAGGACAATGTGCAGGTCTATAGGATCAGAAATCTACGACCTTGCCTGGTCTCCAGATGGTGTGTACTTCATCACAGGCAGCATGGACAATGTTGCCCGCATCTACAACGCTCAAACAGGTACCACCCACCACCCACAGCACCATGGACAGCTACTTAAACATCTCCAGGCGCTATTGTACGGCAGATTGCCGAGCACAACCACTACGTGCAGGGCGTGGCATGGGATCCGATGAACGAGTTTATTGCGACACAATCATCAGATCGTTCGGTCCATGTTTACACTCTGAAGACAAAAGACGGCCAGTTTGCGCTCGACCCACACAACAAGATCACCAAGATGGACCTTCCTGCGCGACGCATATCCTCGAACAGCCCTGCCCCGCCCGACTTTGGTGCTCGAGCTTCGTTTGCGGCTGACTCTACGCTCGGTATGGGCTCGCCTGTGCCTTCGATGCCGGGTACTCCTCAATCACTAGCATTGCCTGCCATGCATCCACCACCGACATCACACAGCCGCCGCTCGTCTTTCGGCGCCATGTCATCACCGTCGATGCGCCGGTCTGCCTCTCCAGCACCTTCGATGCCGTTGCCTGCCGTCATGCCCAACTCACCCAGCATGAGCAGCATTGGCACCCTCGGTGTCCGCAATGCACCCATCTACTTCAACGAGACTCTCACCTCGTTCTTTCGACGCCTGACGTTCGCTCCGGATGGAAGCCTGTTGTTTACACCAGCCGGCCAATACAAAGCTCTCCACCCGTCGCTGGCTGATGTCGGCAAGCCAACAGAGGACATCACTAACACGGTGTACATCTACACTCGAGCTGGCCTGAACAAACCCCCAGTCGCCTTCCTTCCAGGGCACAAGAAGCCGTCTGTGGCTGTTCGTTGTTCGCCTGTCTACTACACTCTCCGCCAGAACGGCCCACCAACCAAGCATGTCACCATCGACACGTCCATGGATGATGATATGCCCTCCCTACCAGAACCCGTCCTGCCTTCTATGCCTCCCACATCGCACTCTTCCATGGACCCACCGCCCATCACGAGCGCACCATCACCTTCACCAAGCATGGCAGCTGCATCACCAAAACCTGCTGATGGTGACGGTCCACCTTTAGGACCGCCCTCCGCATTCAGTCTGGGCTACCGCATGATCTATGCCGTTGCAACACAGGATGCGATTCACATCTATGACACACAGCAACAGAAGCCACTGTGCATTGTTAGCAACTTGCACTTTGCGACCTTCACTGACATTACTTGGTATGTTGAAGTCGATTTAAATTGGTTTTATGCTAATCATGTCCAGGTCGAGTGATGGGTCAACGCTGCTAATGACCTCGTCTGACGGATTCTGCTCTGCAGTCACCTTTGCGCCTGGGGAGCTGGGAGAAAAGTACACTGGACCGCTGGCCTCGCAAAGCAGACGGCAAGCCACGCCGGCTGCCATCAACATCAGTGCCGCACAGTCGTCGAACCACTCCACCCCCACACCCACACCAACAGGGACAAGCATCCCCATTCAGACTATTGAGAAGCCCCCGGCAATGCAGAGACAGCCCTCAGCCGGATTCCCTGCCTCGCCCAGCTCTTTCGTGCCTGCACGACCCGGCAGTCCAACGAGAAGCAACTCGGTCTCCAGCATCGCCACTGCATCGTCGTTTGCACCTGGCGTGGGTGACCCAGGCTCTATGAACGCGCCGACTCCAGCAATGTCTTCTGTGCCCAGTCTGGCAGCAGCAAACTCAGGCCCTGTTCCCACGTGGACGCCACCACTGACCCCAGCGCACGGACAAGGCAACAGCCACAGTGCGAGCAGCTCTATCAGCGGCATCCCAGTCATGCCTACCGGGCGGAGAGAAAGCGAGCAGAGCGAGTCAGGGCGTGAGGATGTAGTCGTGTCCGGTCTGAAGAAGCGCGAACTGCAGGCCGTGCCGGAGGTTGAGGAGGGACGAGAGAGCAAGAAGAGGCGGATTGCGCCCATACCTGTGACAATGGCAACGGAGGGCGACAGTGCGATTGCGAGTGAGGAGAACACGCCGGCGCCTGGCCAGCAATGATGATGCGGGGACTTCCTATTCACGGTACATGTTTTTGTCCTTTCAGCGGGCGTCCAGGATCAGTTCTAGCCACACATCGTGAGCCAGCTGTTATCGTCAGGGTTCGAAGATTCGAAGCCTTGCTTGAGATGTGTTGATACGCCTTCGACCGAGTACAGCTCGGAACATGCAATCAAATTACTTTCCATGACAGCGTGCGGTACGAACACTCTCTCTCTCACGAATCCTGGGCTGCCGTCATCCATCTGTGAGCCTTGTTTGCGGCCTGGCAGCTGGCCCTAACGTACAACGGTAGGCCAAGGAATGCAATGTTGATCCCCTCACCACGTACCAATCACGGAGACCCCACGTGCGGAACGTTCATCCCTCCCACTTGCTTGGTTGGCTGAACCTCATGGCAGCGGATACTGCGCAGGACAAGCATTTTCACCTAGGATGAGATTGTCGCCTGTACATAAGGCGCGGGTGCCTGTCGCTACCATCACACCGGCGCATTCCCGGTTTTACGACAGGATACTCCCGCCGTACCTGTGAGATCACCACGGGTTGTGAGGATAGATAATCCAGCGATATCGTTTGTTTAGTCACGCGACGAGTCTCGTTATTGTTCGATAACTAAACATGAGCGAATCGAAGGTTATGGATAGCGAGAAGAAGGTGCCGCAAGAACATGATGTTGAGCACGGCAGTCATGGTGTTCTTACAAACGACGATGGAAGCAGTATCGGCAAAGACGATATTCTGAGCCAAGAGCACACCGATCCGGTGCTGAATGCGAAGATGCATCTCGTGAATAATGTTAGTACTAAACATTGTT